CAGCGACACAAGGGACTGTTCTACTAATCAAAACCCGCCCTCAAGGGCTGGGAATGCTGCGCTCCCACGCCACCCCCCGCGAGCCCCCGACCGCCCGACGGCGCCGACCCCGCGAATTCATCGCTCATCGCGGGACGCGGGGGCTCTCTCGGCTCTACGGACGGCCTACGGGACCGGCCCCAGCTTCGGCTGAGGGCTGAGGTAGAGCCCGACAAGCTGCCGAGCCCGAAGGAGGTGGGCGTGGGAAGGTGGGGTGGTCCTCACCCCGGCGGCCCGCGCGCGCACGCCGTCTGAGCCTAGCGCAGCGCGAACTCGCTCTGGGCCTAGCGCAGCGCGAGATTTGCGCAGCAACCCGGCCGGGCAACCGTTTAAAAAACTTATCTTCCTTCTAAAAAAAGCGCGAAAAAAGAAAAAACGGAGGCGCCCACCGCTCTCGCCGCTCGCCGGCGCCGCTCGCGCAGCCTCGCCGCCGCCTCCACCGATGTCCACCGCCGCCACCTCGCCAGCCACGCCGGACACGCCGCCGCCCGCCCGCCTCCTCGACCTCCCCACGGAGCTCCTCGTGCGCGCCCTCTCTCGCTGCGACCCCGCCGACATCGCTCGCGTCGCGGCCGTCTCACTTCTCTTCTACGCCTCGCTCGCGCTGGAGGGCATCCGCTTGTGGGCGCGAGAGCGCGGCTTCGAGCTGCCGGCGCAGCCAAAGGGCGAGAGCTGCGCCGTGCGGTGGCTGTGCTGTTCTGCGTTGCTGCGCGAGTCCAACCCGCCGGCGAGGGCGGCGGGAAGCACTCGGCACAGCCTCTTCATCGACGGCGAGGGGCGGCTCTCATCGTGCGGCTCTACGCCGTCCTACTATCCAGGGCTGCTCGGCCATGGCGAGGGCGTGATGCGGCTCAACACGCCGACCCGGAACCCGTCGACGCTGGGCGGCGAGCGTGCCGTGAGCGTGTCGGCCGCATCTGAGCACAGCCTCGCCCTCGCCGCCGACGGCAGTGTCTGGAGCTGGGGCGTTGGAAGCGAGGGCAAGCTGGGCCACGGCGACGAGCAGAGCCAGTGGCTGCCCAAGAAGGTCGAGACCTTGGCGGGGCAGCGCGTCGTCGCTGTGTCGTTGGGAACATACCATGGCCTCGCCCTCACCGCCGACGGTGCTGTCTGGAGCTGGGGCCACGGAAGCCAAGGCCGGTTGGGCCACGGCGACTGGCAGGGCCAGCTGCTGCCGAAGAAGATCGAGACCTTTGCTGACCAGCGTGTCGTCGCAGTCTCGGCTGGGCTGCACCACAGCCTCGCCCTCGCTGCTGACGGAGCCGTCTGGAGCTGGGGCGGTGGAAGCGATGGCAAGCTGGGCCACGGCGACCAGCAGCGCCAGCTGCTGCCGGAGAAGGTGGAGGCCTTGGCTGGCCAACGCGTCATCGCCGTGTCGGCTGCAGGCAACCACAGCCTCGTCATCACCGCCAGTGGCGCTGTCTGGAGCTGGGGCTGGGGAGGCTTTGGCCAGTTGGGCCACGGCGACGTGCAGATCCAGCCGCTGCCCAAGAAGGTCGAGGCCTTCGCTGGCCAGCGCGTTCTCGCTGTGTCGGCAGGACAGCACCACAGCATCGCCCTCACCGCCGACGGCGCCGTCTGGAGCTGGGGCGCAGGAGGCGACGGCCGAGGAGGCGACGGCCGGTTGGGCCACGGCGACGTGCAGCGCCAGCTGCTGCCGAAGAAGGTCGATGCCTTGGCTGGGCGACGCGTCGTCGCTGTGTCGGCTGGAGATGCTCACAGCCTCACCCTCACCACCGACGGCGCCGTCTTTACCTGGGGCAGGGGCGAGAACGGCTGCCTAGGCCACGGCGAGGACCTGTCGAACCAGCTGCAGCCCAAGAAGATTGAGGTGTGGGCGGAGTGAGGTATATCGGGGCTCGCATGGCAGTACCTCGGCGGCCGCCCCGAGGACAGCGAGAGAGCGAGAGAGGCGATCGCCCACCCACTGAGGGTGGGCCCGCTGAGGGCGAGAGAGATGGAAGGGCACTGCCGGTGCGGACGGGCTATATTGGCGTGTCTACGCATGTAAATTTCCTTTTTCGCACGACACTGGGCAGTCGGAAAAAAAATTGCTTTAGCTAAAAGAACGGGCACGCATAGTCTCCCCCCTCCATTCTCTCCCCCTTGGCGCTCCGTGTAACGCGTACTAGTGTAGGCTAGGTGTGCGGGGCGAATGAGTGATGAAGTTAAAGTGCCTTGGTGTCCGTCCCCCATAATGGCTTCCCCTGATCTCTCTCACTTCTAGGGTACTCCCTCAGTGTGGCGCTCCCTTATCCCCCCCCTCATCCCTCCCCTTTCTCTCTCCGAGATGACCCGTGCTCTACGTGCCAAGGTTCGGTCCTCAAGGGAGGGGGGATTGCGATTGGCGATGTGTCATCGTGGGTTTGTTTGTCGATGGACGCCCAACAGTTTCGATTTCCCTCCTTAGCGCCCCGGGTAGAGCGTGGCCTCCCCTGGAGCCTGCCACGCCCGTTCTGTCTAAGCCCAGGGTTCAGCTTTCCAGTTGATCCTTATCGGACTGGTGAGTTCCGTCTAGCTGTCAGTGTGGCGTCGCAGGGAGTCGTTGGCGGCGGTGCTACACACACTATGCCTGGATTCGTTCTCTCCAAAGGAGTGTTTTGTTTTGACAAGATTTTATGGGCTAGCTATCTCGCAGTACATGCGCACGAGCTTAGCTGATATTACATCTCCGTGGCAAGCCTTGGGGGCACATGAGCACACGTTTGCCCTGTAGCATCAGGGAGAGGACGCTGCCCAACATCTCCTTCCTTGCGCTGTGCTGGCGTAACTCTCGCTGTCTCGTGGTGGAGACGGAGAGGGGGGGAGTAATCCCTTGCCACCTCCAGTGGGGTTCGCCCGTCGTCGATGGAGATGGGCCCGGCGTCGTCCGAGGCTACCAGCAGCTTCACAGCGGGCTCGCGCGCAAATCTCCGCTGCACTTGCTCACGGTCAAAGGGCTTTGTGAATCGCCTGTACACGCGGGCGATAGAGACCACGATGGTTGCGCATGAGAAGTGCCGCTGACTCAGCAGTGAGTCGATGGCTGCAATGAGGTTGAGCTCACGGCCGGGCACGCTTGCTACGCCGCATTGGAATATCAGCTCATTGCCTGCTGTCTCGGAACGGCTCTCGGGCAGTTGCGAAAGATTTCTCGGTGGCCGCCACAACGAGGCCTCGTCCTGGTAGCAGCCATCCATGACTTTGACTTCTTAATGGTGCGGCAAAAACACAAGTCTCGTGGCTGTGACAATGTCCTGTGCGGTTTGCCGCCGAAGTTTTTTTTTACTTTTTGAGGCCGGACTAGACCGTGCGTTGGGTCGTGTGAGGTGTTTACATTAGAGTTGTTTGGTATTGCCAGTGTCCCCAGTGTGCAGAGAAACGGGATGGCCTTGTGGATCATTCGTTTGAGTTCTTGAGAGTATTATTTATTTACTCCCACCAACCTGGAACGGTTTCCTGGAGCAGCGGGACTGCAAGCCTCGGCCGTGGTCTTCTTGCTCACCCTTTTCATCCCGAGCGGGAGCAGCTTCCCCATCCACTGCTTGCCGTTGCCATTGCCGTGCATAAAGCAAGGCGCGCGGCCAAAGAGGTTGCTGAACACGCGGCCGCCGGCGCGCTGCTCCATACCACTCCTCCTGATCCGCTGAAGGCTGAGCACAAAGCGCGCGCCATAATCCATCTCAACACGGTGCGCCTCACGAAGGGTTAGGAACGCGTGCGTCATCAGCGCCTGATCGGACCGTAGATCGTCGGCTATGTCAAAAAGGTTTAACGCGGCGGCGTAAAAGTCGCGCAGCGAGCCCGCCTTGCCGGCGATAAGACCAGCGTTGAGAAACCGGTAGCCCGGCCTGGCTCCCTTCGGCGTGCACGTGAAGTCGACGTCGACGTGCTCGAGAATCGCACGTGCTGTGAGGTTGGAGCGATCCGGAAAGAGGTAGGGCAGTTTTGAGCAGGGCGACGGCTCGGATCCGCTCATGGGATGACAGCCAAACTCAGCGCCGAAGAGCACCCCCACGCCGAGCTCTCTCTGCAACGCCGCGAATGTGGATGCGGGGGACTCACCTTCCTCACAGCCGGTGAACATGACGTCGCGCGAGTCGAAGAGGACGACCAACTGATCTGGCCCATCCGTGCGAGCCACGTGCTCGGCGAACTGCCGAAACGCCACCACCTTCTGCTTGTGGTGGCTCTGAAGCTTCTGGCCACGCAACATGGCCACGTGGTACGGGAACGTCGCATTGAACACCTGTGCGCCTCGTTGGCGACTTGAAACTCACGAGCTCGCTTACGTGCAAGGGTGGCGATCGGCTCGGCTGGAAGGGGGCTTTTGTCGCCTTCGGCAACACCGAGCGGGCGCTGCTCGACTTAGTGTTAGGGCATGCTGCATGGCCGCGGCCGGAGGGGGGGGGGGAGGGGGGGAGGGAGGCGGAGGATGCAGAGGCGGAGGCGGCGGCGGCGGAAGAGGAGGAGGGGGAGAGTGAGGGGGAGGCGGAGGCGGGGGCACCTGTGACGGCCCCCTACAAGAAGGGCGACTACCGGTTCGCGCGGGAGAAGAATTGCGACCTGCGTTTGCTCGACTTCGAGACGTTCGGCGGCTTCGGGGACGGCGTCCGCAGAATTCTTCGGCAGGCGGCGGACCAGCTGAGTAACAAACTTTCGCACGCTCAGCACCTCGATGAGGTCACATGGACCACCAAGAACTGGCACGGGCTGCAGATGCAGCGCTTGTCTGTCGTTCTCCACACCGCCGTGGCGTGGCAGACGGTGAACGAGCTAGCGTGCGGGGACAGCGGCATTGTGCACGGAGCGAAGTGCATTGCCGTTCTTAACGGAGTCGCTTAGGCGGCTCCGGTGGTGTGCCGGTGATAGTACTAGCACGCGCCAGTTCGCACCTGTGTCGAGCCTGTGTGCTGTGAGAGAGAGTTAACTTCTTTAAATTCTTTTCTCGTCTGCGCAGCTGGCACGCGCGCTTTCTATCGCCTGCGTTGTCCCCAATGAGCACCGACGCGTCCGACAGTGTTGCCTTCCACCTCTACCTCGACCCTTCGCAAGACGGCCTCGGCGACGGCCCAGAGCGGCAGCTGGCGCGGTGCCGCGAGGCGCGAGATGCGTGGGCAGCGCAGCTGCTGCCGTGGCTCGCCAGCCACGTCTGGGAGCGAGAGCCGCTCCAGCTGTGGGTGTGGGACCCTGCCGACTCGCGTACGCACGGCCGTGGCCGCCGCGGCGGCGGCGGCGACGAAGACAGCCCTGCCGAGGAGGCTCACGTGTGGGGTCGTCTCTCGGTGGGCGGTTCAGTGCATGACGAGTGGGTTGTGGTGGCGGCGCTGCTGCGCCTCACGGGCAGCGAGGAGGGCGTGAGCGCCACGCTGCGCGACGGCGACGGCGAGCTGCTGCTCATCGAGGCTGCGTACTCGCTGCCCGACTGGCTGACGCCGGAGAATGCGCCCGACCGCGCGCTGCCAGCGGGGCGGTGCCGGTGACACTGCGTCCCTGACATTGGGCTCGACACGTCCTCCAGGCGCCCAACCGCGCCTTCCTGCGGGGAGGGGCGCTCCACCTGCTGCCTCCCTCGCCCGAAGACGAGAGGCGAGGCCCGGCACCGACTCCACACACACACTCCTCCCTTTCACTTCCACCGAGCAGTGCGTACATGCAATCAAGGCGAGGCTCGGCCGGTCCCCTCTCCGCCTCCGAGGGCCTGAGCCGGCTGCGGAGGGTGTGTGCGGGGCTGCGGTGCGGCGCCGCGGTGCGGGTGGGAGGCGTAGCCTCGCGGCCGGAGCTGAACGGGCGGAGAGGCACCGTGGTCGTCGAGGAGAGCGAGGCGGGGCGGCTGGGAGTTCGGGTGGAGGGGCTGGAAGAGGCGAGTCTGCACCGCCGCGGGGAGGAAGCCCCGTCTGCCTGGCTGACCCACCCCTGACGGAGGACCGGTGTGGACTTCTCTCAGGCCCTCTCCCTCCACCGGCGATCCCTCTCCCTCGTCGCGGAGGGCGCGCCACACACACCTAGCGCCGCCCCCTAGCAGCCCCACCCGCCTTGCACCGCCCCCTACCCCTACCCCTACCCCTACCCCTACCCCTACCCCTACCCCTACCCCTACCCCTACCCCTACCCCTACCCCTACCCCTACCCCAGCAGCCCCACCCGCCTAGCACCCTCCCGACGACCTCCCTACGCCTCCCTCCCCGTTGTTTGGTATGACTC